TTAAAGATATGAATTCTCACAATTATAGTTGTCAATTTGTTCCGTGAGACTACGTTCATAGTAAATGATCGACAAGTATTCTAAAAGGATATCGATTGTTAATTAGACTGTGAGATGTTGAAGTCAAGAAGTTACTCATTTTTACGAAGTGGGAAGTACAGCAGGAAGTCTTGTTGCGGCTAAGCAGAGATAAGTAGGGTCTGTGTTGCGAACGGTAGGCCGGAAGGACAATATTTTTCGAGATACTTCTCCGCGTTCGTCTAGGTAAATATTTGTATTGCATCTGTAAAGGTATTATATGTATGTAGCCTCTCGAATTCGACATTTCACAACTTAATTATCAATCGATATCGTTATAGAATACTTGTCAATCATTTACTATCTATGTATTCAGGTCGTAGATACGACCGCGTTTTATGAAATTATTCGGGATTGACCGAATCCCGCACTCGCGAACGCACTATGACACCGTTCACGATCCGAACTGCACCGATTCCTCGAGACGACTGATTCAAAATTATATGTTGATCGGCTGAGAACACCCGCACAAGAGGGGAAAATGTTTAAACAAAATACTCGCCATGAAAGGCAAAGAAAAACCGTTGAGTTATTTACAAGCCGCACGTGTTTACGTTAAGACCGATACGAGAAGACATTAACAGACCAAGACCCTGCCCCTATTCCCGGTGGTCTGCGGCCCGAACCACTTGAAACGAAAAAATCCTTCGGTCGCGGTTAAATTGTTACTTCCGCGATCGAACAAGCTCGTTTCCTCGTGCCGAACCTCGTATCTTAGAGCGAGGCCTAGGATAATCCGGAGTGTCGTAAATACTCTGTTGGTCGTTTCGCTCGTACACTACGGTATGCACGCCCAGAGCCCTGTGACGAACACGTCGTGCCACTTATGGTGATTGGCAATTCTCTTATATGAAAATCTCGGTGGGCCTACAACTGCGACCAGGGTCCCGGGTCGATACCGGTATGCCGTGACTCAGGAGGATGCACCGGACAGCACCAACGAACACCGGTTACAACAAATTGCTGCAGAGCGAGTATGATGGTCACGACGCCGTGACAAATACGACTTTTACCACCGCAATGGCAAAGGGCTTCCGACTTTAAATGGTCCCGGTAAAAGCCGCACTGCTTTGACCAGCGAAACTCACGTTCGAGCGATGACCGAAGGATCACCTTCGAAATCACTCCGATACGGTCAAGGTGCGGGAGAATTCCTGTCAATGCAGTAGATCTGTACCAATCTACTGCAGCTCCGATAATAATAATAGAGTATTTCAGCAAACAACTGATTTTAATCCGGAATGCAGACGGATTTCTCAACGTCTACCCGGCTTTAATCGGCTTAGCGAATTCTGAGAACCTTCTCGGAAATTCGGCTGGAATACGTGTACATCGGTAGATGCACCGGTAAGGAATAAATATAATTCGCGGTACGCGTATGATTGCCGATACACGGCTCTCTATCTTTACCTATACGCGACTTTCTCACACTTGTGCTCCGGGCGTATATACGCCCGTATGAGTCACCGCTCGGGAAATATAAGAAGTGGATCAACAATTTCTTAATCCCCGAACTACAATAATAGATCGAACGGACCTTTCTATTTAAAATTCTCGTGGACACGTGTAGGACGGTTCTTCTAATGAAAGGCTTCTCCTTCTTATCACAGGTTTAACACTAGTTTATTTATTATGAACAGGACACTATTTATGTAAGATAATATAAGATAATACGTTATAATATGAAAGTAGTAACAAAATAAACTCTTGGTTTTTCAAAAACAAAATATAAACTCTGACTGTTAGTTATATAAAACTGACAAAAAGACCTCTGTTCCTTTTTGCACGTGTACTCGCTCGAAGCTCACAAAGGAATGAAAAAGAGTTCGTTTCGATCCTTGAAACAACGGACTGCTTCAAATTCCTCCTGTACTTCCGGTGGGAGAAGTACATGATGGGGGAGAGAGTTAAGTTGCGAGCGATATCGACAGAGGCCGCAATGCTGCTTGTCGCTCACACTCCCTCCCAGTGCGGCTACTGCGTCCCCTGTTGACTTCTATTCTGTTTCTCTGAAACGATAGAAATGTCTCCCTGTAAAATTTTAATAATTTCTCTAAAACAAAATCTTATCTCTTAGGTGTATGTGTGTAGTGGTTGGTAAGGGTTTTGTCATAATATCTGCAAGATTTTCCTTGGTGCTGATCCACTGAACTAAAACCTTATTTTCCATCACACATCTTTTAACGAAATCCCCGTGTGCATCAGCTATATGACTCTTATTCCCTTTGATTTCTCTTTGCTCCAATTTCCTAATTATCTCTTCTCTTGGATCATCAAAACTCTTTAACTTGTGTGAACCGTCCATTTGAGTCCAATCCTTCGCTGATCTGTTATCACACCACACTGTCACTGGATAATGTGTTTTCCCTGTAATATCTCTTAATGCCTTGTCTAAGGATATTATCTCTTGACATGCCTCACTCATAGCTAAGTATTCAGCTTGACACGTTGAAAGTGTTACATAACTCTGTTTATGACTTCTCCATGTGATTGTGTCGCCAAACAATTTAATCACATATCCTCCTGTCGAATACGAATCTTCACAGTCTCTGAAGCTCGCGTCTGTAAATACTTCTAACTATCCTTCAGTTCCTTTGTATATTAATCCCATATCCGTAGTTCCTTTTAGATATCTGAATATTCTTTTCACATCTTTCCAATCTTCTTTTGTGGGATTCACTTGTTTCCGTGCTAGGTAGTTCACAGCATATGCTATGTCTGGTCTAGTAACGCCCGCTAAATAAAGTAAACTACCTATCGCTTCTCTGTACGGTGTTTTGCTCATGTCGATAGATCCTTTCTGATGATCTTCCTTCATCCCGTAATTATTGTTCCTGTTCTTCACCTGCCTGGTCACCATAGGTGTGCTCTGTGCTTTACAGTCTTCCATATGAAACTTCTTTAACATCTTATCTATGTATTCTGATTGTTTTAACGACATTACACTGTTCTCTTTATCCCAATTAATTTTAATACCCAAGAACATTCTGGGCTCCCCCAGATCTTTCATTTTAAAAACTTTGTATAACTCACTCTTAATCACCTGTATCCTTTCTGAATCGTTTCCAGCTAAGATGATATCGTCCACGTACAATACCAGCATCACCATGCGCCCGTTCTTTCTCCATGTGAAAAGGCACGGTTCATTGATGTCTCTTTCTAAACCTAGTTCCTTTACCTCCTCTGTGAAATTCTGGTTCCACTTCTTCGAACTAATTTTTAGTCCACACAAAGCTCTCTTTAGTTTACATACCTTATCTCTTCCCTGATCAATGTTTAATCCCTCTGGAATCTCCATATAAATTTCTTCATCTAATATGCCGTTCAGAAATGCCGTCTTTACATCGAGTTGACATGCTTCCAATTTGAACTTGTTTATTACTGCCAATGCTACTTTTATTAAAGCCAAGCGCGAAACTGGTGCGTACGTTTCTCTGAGCTCATATTTATTTTTATCTTTGAATCCCCTGATCGCTAACCTGGCCTTGAATTTCTCCCTTCCATTCTCCTCGCATTTTCTCTTAAACACCCATCTGGAGTCAATTATATTTGGTTTCTTGTTATCCAATCCGGTTTTTGGTCTGTCCACTATCTCCCAGACTTCATTGTCCGTGATTGATTGTAGCTCTTCTTCAATCGCATCCTTCCATCCGTCCCGATCTCCTGATTCCATGGCTTCTTTGAAATTCTTCGGATCATCATTTACTCCAGCCAATAATGCGTAGATAGTTTCATCTTCCTGTATTCCTTCATTCTCTTTCGCAATTATATTCTTTGTTTGGTAAACAAAGTCTTAATCTCTTTTCGGGTTTTCTTTGGCAGTTCTCTTTGGCATTTTCCTAATTTCCTGCATCTTTGCATCTGCGTGCTTTCTTTTTCTCTTTGTTGTTTCATTTCTCTCGTCCTTTGGTTTGTCTTCCTTCTCTGGTTCGGTTGTGTTGTGTCTCTTGATACTCTCTTTTCTATAGCATCTTCAGATACAGTTTCCCCAAACTCTAAACGTGACATATCTGATCTAGCTGCTATATCTCTGTAAACAATTTTCTTGTTAAATTTTACATATCTGGAATTTAAGAATTTTCCAGTTGTAGGATGCCATAGCAGATAACGTATCTGTGTATCCTACTAAAATTGTTTTTATCGCTCTGTGTGTGAACTTGTTCTCTGGTTTCGGTATTTTTACATAACTAATACTACCGAATCTTTTTATTTCATCTATATGACTCTTTTTCTGAGAGTTCATGAGTGACAATGGCATTTTATATCCTATCGACTTGTGTGGTGTTCTATTATAAATATAGACCGCTGCCACCACAGCGAACGCCCACATAGTTGATAGCAACCCTGAGTCAAACATTAATGCTCTGACTTTTCTCTGAAGAGTTTTGTTAAATCTTTCTGCAGTACCGTTCAGTTGTGGAGTATGTGGTGGCGCGAAGTCGTCACTTATTCCCTCTTTTGTCATTATCTCTAAAAATTCTCCTTCTGTGAATTCGGTGCCTCCGTCTGCTCTGATGAAACACACTTTCTCGTTCTTGCCAACCAAATTTCTCATGTGTACCAAAAACCTTTCCAGGCATTGACCAGATTCATTTTTATGCACGATACTGTAAGCTCTGGCATATCTACTATAATCATCTATGAATACCGTAATGAATCTGTTATAGCCCTGTGAAAGGGCTAGATTCCTTGTCATTTGTCGCTTTTGCAATACGCGCTTGGTAACAGCCAGCGAGTGTCGAATTATGACGACTAATCATTTCGACACCTCAGGTCATTAGTCTGATATGCGTTCGAAATGCAGCGCATGTCGAAATGACGACTAAGCGTTTCGACATATTTAAGGTATTTCGAAATACATACGAAGACCAGGACATGTCGAAATCATTAAAGGAGAATAGACTGCTGACTTTTAGCTTAGGCTATAAAGCCTGGCCATCGGGGCCTGCACTTCAGTTTTGATTTTCGACTCTTAACCCGCGACTCTGTCCGAGTCCTCATCGGTTTCAAAGCATCGTTCAGCTGATTCCCTGAATCAAAAGATTCTTAAACGGCTTACCCGAAGGACGAACGCATTGCCTAGAAACTGCTGGGAACTCGAGAAGTTAAATATAGAAATAAAATACTTTGTAACGTGAAGTGACTAGTGTCAGCATATAGGCTACCGACACACGAACCGCCGATCAGGCCGAGCTAAGCAGCCTATGGTATGTAACTGAATATCAAATATTAAAGAATATCAATTGTTATAGAATTCCCGTGTCAATCCTTTTATATCCAATATTTATTCCCTTAAAATAGATAGTTAGGTCAAGGTGTGCCTAAGCACTTTAAATAAAAGCAAGGACCCATAACAGGACATAACAAATCTGCTCCGGCCCGGAAAAGAAGCCGGTGTAATTTTTCCCATAGTGTCTTTATGTATAGTGTGTAGTGGCCTATCTACTCTACTCCTATTATTTTTGAAAGGAATTGATTCCATCTTAGCGAATATGTAAGTTTCACAATCCTGTATTTCATGATTTAATTTTATGTTTTTGAGTTTTTCTTCATGCTTTTGCATATGTCGCATATATTCTAGTGATAAATGACCAAGTCTCATGTGCCATAACATTCCTGCTCTTGGAATGTTATTGTTTTTCTCTACATGTTTTTCTTGCATATTCCAATCTAAATTCTCTAACTCTGACTCAAATGCGATTTCGTCTAAATATATGATACACCTCTCTGGCTCATTACTCTCTATCTCTGTTGAATTACTCTGTGACTCTTTTGATTCATTGTTTTCTCTATCATTTTCCTCCTCATTCTCCCTCTCAATCTCAGACTCGCTCCAGGTGTTTATCTCTGATTCACGTATATTCGTCTGAGATTGTTCCAGGAAATCTTCTATTGATATGAGTTGAGCAGTTGCTATATATCTTTCAGACTCACTATTTGAATCATCGTTATTGCAAACTTCAAAATCAATGAGCCAGTTAGGTTTATCATAATGTCCGGTAATATAAGTTTCATTGTTCTCTAGGTTAAATATTCTCAGAACTTTATCGTCCAAATATATCCCGAAACCTTCGTCAACAAACTTTCTTAATGAGAGTAGATTGTCTGATGCATTGGACGCGTAAATTACGTTGGAAAGAAAAATGTCATTATTTTCTGTACTTAATGATAAATTTCCTCTACCATCTATTTTGATATTTGCCGACTTGTTCTTATTCGCGCTTTTAATCTCTTCACCTTTGCTTTTGATAAAGTTCTTTAATATTAAACCTTTATTTATAATGTGTTCTGTTGCTCCTGAATCTGCTATGAAAGTTATGTTCTCTGTATTATGTGATATATTGTAGGAATTACCTGTTTTGTTAACTTTTACTTTCTTCTCATTGTTATAAGGCTTAAATCTGTTTTTGCTCAATGTTTCTCTAGTTTTTGAATGCTCCTTACCTCTACCTCTGTTATTATTGTACCGTGTTTTCTGTGTATTGTTGTTAGTTTTAAAATGATTTTTGTTTTCGTACCTCTGAGGTGCTTTCGGACACTGATCCCCTTTATGCTGCCGATACTCATTGCAATAGTAGCAATACCAGGTTCCAAATTCTATTAATGGGCACTCTGTTTGCCAGTGACCAAATTTGTTGCACCTATAGCATTTTACATCCTTTTGCTCTCTATAGGTGCTTGGTCTTTCTCTGAAGTCTTTGTTTTCTCTCGTCTTCTCTCTTTGGGCAACGGATGCTTTGGTCTCTGAAATTTTACACTCTGCTTCTAACTGTAACAAACAATTTTTGATTTCGTCAAGCGTCATTTCTGACCCTGTTTGACTTCTTATCATATATGCTGCCTTGAATTCATTGCTAGAATCACATACTGCATGATAAAATACTGATTTTATTTCTTCCTCCGATAATGGATTAACATTGTTACACGCTTCATATTCTCTTAGAATGCTATCGAACCTATCGCAGAAGTCTGTTATTTTTTCTCTGTTATGTTTTCTAATGTTGTATAATTTTTGTCTAACGTGAGTGCTAGTCATATTTGATTCTGCTTTCCTAATTTCTTTTATTTTGTTCAATATTTCGATTGGTTCATGAAGATTTAGAATTTTCTTATGATATTTGTCATCTAAATGATTTATTATTATGT